GCGAGGAAGGATAAGAGAGGGGAGGGGACCAGGGAAGGAGAAGGGAGGGGAAGGGAAGGAGGAGAGAGAAAAGGGGGGAGGCGTGGGGAAGCCCGCACAAGCTGTACCCACCAAGCCTGGAGAGCCGGCCTCAGCAGCCAGTGGCGATCAGCTCGGTCCCGGGGGCAGGGTCCCGAAGGAGGGGCGACCCGGGCCCCAACTTGGAAATACCAACTCCGCTGTGCGCCGGGCCCAATCTCGAAGGAAACGGAAGTCCCTTGGTCCCCTCACTCGCCTCCGCCTGGCCGGCCGGTCCCCCAAAGAGACCCCGGAATCAGCAGTCCCGAAGTGAGCTCACAGCAGGGCCTCAGCGACACTGAGCGCGGTCCCTCCGTGTCGTCGGCCGAGGCCACGCCGCCAGGCCCTGACCTCCTTCCCACCTCCCTGCCCCGAGGTCAGCCTCCCGCCCAGCAAGGCCCCTCCTTCTTCCCCCCTCCGCCATTTTCCAACTCACCCTCCGGCCCAGGCTCGCCTGGCTCCACGCAGCGCCCGCTCGGGGCGCCGCCAAGGTCCCGCCACTTCGCAGAGCCGGAAGGGGGTAGCCGGAAAAAAAAAAACGAAGTCCCCTGCACCCCACCCCCACCCGCCCCCCCCAGCTGGAAACCAGAACCTGAAGGTGCGAGCACACATGCGCAGTGGGCATCTCGCAGTCCCCGCCCCTAGGCCGAGCGTTTCCTCTGCGCCTCAAGGATGATTTTCCCACGACTTTTACCTGACAGGATCTGGCTGAGGAGGGGGGGAACAAAAGCAAAGGGATGAGGAAGAGAAGGCCATGAACATACTGATTTTTTTGTGTAGATCAGGCACTTTGTTAGGCTTAACACATGGTCTTCCTTGTAGTTTTGACAACCTTGTAAAGTAAACAATTTTATTAAACCCATTTTACAGAAGAAACAGGCCTGGAGAGAGTAATCATCCCCACGATAACCCAGATGATAAATAATGGAACTGATATTGTAATTGGATTTGTTTCCAAGCTGGAAAGATAAAAAAAGAAATGGCAATAAACAGAAAGATGGGGTGAAGACAGGAATTGGTAAAAGGGGAAATTGATTAAGCAAGCAGTTACAAAGAAAACTCTGGAAGTCTTGGTACAGCAAATGTTCACTGTGTCCCATATTTATTTCAAGCCTGTCAGATCCACAGGAATGTTTGTTTCAGGAACTTGGCTAAATATTTCATTTCAAGGGAAGATCATAGCTAGCTCCAGCTGCCCTTCACGCAAAGGGAATTTGTAGGGAAAAGAGCAAAGAAGTTTCCTCCCCCTCCTCCTCTTTCCCCTTCTGCTCCTCTTCTTCATTTTAGTTTTTTGAAACTATCTAGCACAGGCTGTCCTTGAACTCTTGCCTCATCCTCCCGAGTGCTGAGATCGCAGGCATGTGCCACCACAAGTGGCAAGAATTTTCTTTTGGATCCGTGAGTGTTTTCTACAAGAGTCCCTCTTCTGATCCTCTTCATTGTCACAACTCTTGAGAATCTCACATCTAACACTGCAATAAAGTAATTGCAAGCAAATATTATCTCACTTGAAATTCTCAGCAATCAATGGCCATGGGGGGTATGTGGGGTATGTGCCTGCAATGGACTGAGGCAGGAGGATCACTGTGAGCTCAAGGCCAGCCTGGGCTACATATTGAGACCCTGTCTCAAAAAGACAAAATAAATAAATATCTGCTCAGCAATCTTATTTAATATATGATTCATTATTGTTACTCCTTTATTAGAGATGGGGTCTTGCTGTGTTGCCTAAGCGGCCCTCAAACTTCTGGGTTTAAGCGATCTTTCTGTGTCAGTCCTAAGTAGCTAGGATTAAGTTTATCCCCTATAGATGAGTAAGCTGAAGTTTAGACAGGTTAGGTGAGTCTCAAAAGTCATACCTCTACTCTGTGTGCTGTAGAAGCTGTCTTATTTATTACTGGTTAATAACTTACTTATTTTTTTCTGTCTTTTTTAGACTACTCTCCCCAGTCTAGCCTGCACAAGGCTGAGTTACATACCACCTCCTGGATAATAGTTGCTTAAGCAAATGCTGTACCACAGAGCCACACCCTCGGATCCAGCCCTTGGGTATAGCACCATTTTTTTTATTGTGGCAAAATATACATACAGTAGATCATTCTAACCATTTTTAGGTGTCCACTTCAGTGGCATTGAGTGCATTCACTTCGTTGTGAACCATCGCCAGCATCCATCTTCAGATTTTTTTCATTACTTGGCGCTTAAATTTGGTCCTTTGTCACAGAGGACAGCACTTTCTGCTATGTAGTATGACTACTTGTGTACGTGATTTTTCTCTCCCATATTGGTAAAGTCATTTGTAGCAAAATCTACCTCAGTCATTTTTGTAATTCCTCCGAGACAGTTCTCTGTTATATCCCACATCCCTCCATTGGTAAAAACTATCGCTTCCATCTTCAGAATATGTCCAGAATATCGCTAATTGTCGGGGACTCCATCATCGTTCTGTCAAGTGCATCCTCCTCTCAAACAGTAATTGCCTCCTCATTGGTGTCCCAGCTTATGTCCTTGCCCCTCTCCAGTCTATTCACACAGCAGCTATACTTAACCTCCTCTGCTCAGATCACTTCCTTGGCTCCCCATTTCACTCAAAGTAAAAGCTACAGATCGATATTTTCTTTGTGCATGATAATGGGGATTGAACCCAGAGCCTTATATATGGTTACCAAGCCCTCTACCAGTGAGTTTAAATTCTCAGTCCAAAAGCTTCAATTTTTGTAATAACCTACAAAACTTATGAGCTTGGCCACCAGTGATGTTCATTTTTTGCTAGTCACACCCTTGGATTTCTTTGGCATTAAAATCAGTGCTAACCTATGTAGCTGGTAGAATACAATGGAAGTGAGCCAGGAATGGTGATACATACCTAGGCCCAGTCAATCAGGTGGCTGAGATGGGAAGATCTCTTGAGTAAAGGAGTCTGAGAAAAGTCAGGGCTATCTGTGGGTGGGAGGGGTGTGGTGGAAAGGATGGTGTGTGATCCATAAAACTAGGGTCACAAAAGGCATTGTAGTTTCTACTTTACACTTTTTATGTTCTCTCTCTTTTTCCCTCACTCCTTCCCTCCCTCTTTCCCTTGCTTTCTTTTAGACTTGTTGTTCAGAGGAAACCAGGCATCCTGTCATGAGCACACTCCAAAGTGACATGAAGAGGCCCACATGTAGAGAAACTGAGTCCTTCTCCTTCCTCCTCTCCTTACTCCATCAACAGCCAGCACCAACGTGACATCCATATCAGTAAGCCACCTCAGAAGGGAGTCTTCAGGGGTAGGTTTCAGATAACTGCTACCTCTTGAGACCCAGCACCAGAATTATCCAACCAAGCCACTCAAATATGTGAGTATTATTGACAATAGCTACATTTTAGGGCAATTTGTGATAGATTACTATAACAAAGATCCTTTGCATTCTTGCTCCCTGATTCCTGCACTGTTCTTTTAGCTTCCCATCCCCTATGTGTTTTTTTTTTGTTTGTTTGTTTGTTTTTGTGGTACCTGGGAATTGAACTCATGACCTTATGATTGCCAGGCAAGCACTTTTTCCACTGAGCTATCTACCTGGCCCCCCCCCAGTGTCTTTTCAGTTGTTTATTATTCTATATCTGTCCTGTACAATGGTATCTACCACTTTTGAAAAGAACTGCAGTGTAGTTCTGCTATTTATTATGTTTCATTTTATTTTATTTATTTTTGGTATCAGAGATTGAACTCAGGACCTTGCACTTGTCAGGCAGGAACTTACATGGCTGAGCTATGTCCTCAGCTCTTAATTATGTTTCTTTACTATACATTTCTCCCTCCTGCCCCTGCTAGGATATCAGCTCCACAATTACACAATTGTTTTGTTCACTGATGTATCCCAAGTACTTAAAATAGTACTGGACATCATATGTGTGCTCAGGGGATATTTGCTGAATGAGTCAACAAACATTTCATAAGCATGCCAGACCCTGCATAAATACTTGCTGGTGAATTATCAATTGAGAGACATGAATGTATCTGGGGTACAGTGTGTATATTGTATTTGCTTGTTTGTATGTTTTGTATTTTTTTTTTTTTGGTCAGGATCTCACTATGCAATTTGGGCCGGCCTTGTGCTCACTTTCATAGCCCACAGGCCTGTCTCACATTTGCAGTGATCCTCCTGTCCCAACTTCCTGAGTGCTGGGACTGAAGGCATGTACCACCATGCTTGGTTTGTATTTAATTGTTAACTTATTTGCTTTTATTTTTATTTATTTGTACACACAATCTTGCTATGTAGCTCAAACTGGCCACAAACTCATTATGTAACCAAGGCTGAGCTCAAACTTGAAATCCTCCTGCCTTAGCCTCCCAAGTGCTGAGATTTCAGACATACACCATTATACCAGCAATATCTACATTTTATGTACAGGGATACATATAGTTGTGACATTAAAAAAACATAATCTATGGACAATTTGTAATTGTCTTTGGCTAAAAGAAAGAAAACTTAGACAAGAAAAAGACTAAAATGGAAGCATTTGAGATATACAGTGCTGCACCAATGCCACAGGTTGCAAACTGCAATTTATTATACTTCCACATATGAGAAAGGTAACTGGCTGGTGTAAAGTTTCAGAGGGGCAGGGTGGTGGCACATGCCTGTTATCACAGCACTTGAGAGGCCTAGGCAGGTGGATCATTGCAAGTTCAAGCCCAGCCTGTACCCCAGTGAGCTCAAGGCCAGCCTGAAACTGCATAGTGAGACGCTGTCTCAAAAAAGATTCAGAGGAAATGAAAAAGAGATGAGATCCAGCATGTACAGAGGCTTTAGCCTTGATAGAAGAAAGGAATTTAATCCTCTCAGAGGATTAAAGAGGTAGATAAGTAGAGCAGAATGTTGAGGGTGGTCATTACACCTCAGTAGCAGCTGTGGTGGTCACTACATGTCAGTTCAATGTGTAGTCATCTCCTGAAAGGAACAGCAAATGGTTAGCTCTAGAACCCTTTGTGCAAAGACAGTCACAAATTAAACCCAAATAAAGGTCATAGATGAAATACAGCACTGGTCTGAGTGAAGGGTGTGAGGTGAACCCTGACTTCCAGGTTTTGTCCTGGAGCCCTGCATGGGTTTGATGTACCTTCTGACAGAAAGCGTTTCATTCCTGTAGACGATTGTTCTTGCCTCATTAGTCAGAAAACAGCTTTTGTGGAGATCTTTCCGGTCCAAAAGTTTCTATCAACAGCACCTGCCTCTCAGTCTCCTCACTCTTACTTAGGTGTCTGGATCAGTAACCTTCTCACTACCTCCTTGCTGCGGGAAAGGCTGGCCACTGAAATTTCCTCTCTTTGTGTGGTCACAGAATACAAGCCCCTATCTTGTGCTGACAAAAT